ATACATACAGATGTATAGATATATATGCATATATGTTGTCAGAAATGCCTACATGCACCAGACGCATGAGGTTTTCATGCACGCTGGTATCCATCCCCGTTGATGTTAGTCAGAAATGTTGTTTGCTGATAATTTTTATACTGCAGTTGTTAAGGCATGTAAGTTGGTACTTCTTGATATCAACGACCCCTTCCCCCTAAAAAGCAATCATGAATAAGTAATGAAGATAATCGTACTAATGATAATGCTAATATAAGAAACGCGACGAGAAAGGCATATTGTTAAACGCGGTGATGTTGCATCTTTAATCGGTCCTCCACGTGTGGTCCTCTCGCAACACGCGAAGGTGCCATGACACTTTCGCGGGGCCATGACACTCGAGGCGTCCCATGACACCCAAGGCCGTCTTACATGATTCATCCCGATATCGCTCTTGGCGCAGCCGCTGGTGGTGCACAGCTGCACCCAGGCGCCCTCGCAGCCCTTCTGCGAGCACAGGTGGTAGGTCTCCTCGCGGTTGAGCGGCGAGGTGTTGCCGTCGAAGTAGTCCGCCGTCGGGTCCATCATCCACTCGGGCGCCGTGTCGTCCCTCCGCAGCTCCTCCAGGTTCAGCCAGGTGTCCATGTGCTGGTACTTGCTACCTGTAACACGTAGCTCATTAGCGGCCCGCGCATGCGTCCTCACCCATTAGCGAGATCATGCACAGCGACCTCATAACTGTTAATTTTTACGACCAAACATGTCGACGCGGCCACTGCATGACTCTCGGATGTATGAACTGAATTGGTATCCCATATGTGTTCGCCGGCGCACGCACGGACGCACGGACGCCAATCCGGTTCTATCTGATGTAAAGTGTAGATATTTATCTTCTACATTAAGTGTCAGTCTTTTATTCTTTGCTGTTAATGTTCCAAATTTGTTGCCTCACTTTCTCTTCACTTTTTCGATTCTGGCATGTTTCTCCTTCGGGAATTGTTTACATTTCCTGCTTTATCTCTTTATCTCCATTTCTTATATATACGTTTGTTCTTTCTTCCATCTCTCCAAGTTTTTATACAAAGATATTTTCGTTAGCTGCGATTCACTTATTTTCTTATTTTCCTCTATGCCCCTTCCTTCTTTTCTCTGGTTCTTGTTTCTCTTATGTTCTCATAAGTATCATTTGCTACGATTGTCATTATCATTCTATCATCACTATCATAATCACGTCATTATCAGTATCATAATTTTTGTTATCATATTATCATTGTTATCTTTTTTACCATTGTTATTATTATTACTATTATCATAACTATTATTATCATTACTATTATGATTATCGTTATTTATTATCATTACTATTATGATCATTATTCATTATATCAATCATTATTGATCATTTTATCAATTATTATTATTATCATTTTTATCAATTATTATTATTATCATTATCATTGTTATATTACTATAATTATTATCATTGTTATTATTTTATTAATTATTATTACAATTAGATTATCATAATTACTTTTATTTCATCATTATCATATTATTACTATTATTAATTATTATTATTATTATTATTATTATTATTATTATTATTATTATTATTATTATTATTATTATTTTATTATTATTATATTATTATTATCATTATTATATTATTATTATCATTATTATTATTATTATTATTATTATTATATTATTATTTATCACTATTATCATCATTATCACCATTTATCACTATTTTTACTATTATCATTATTATCATTATTATTATCATCATCATTTATCATTATCATTATTACATTATCGTTAATTATCATATTGATTATCTTTGTTATCATTTTAATATCATACTTAATATATCCATTACTATCATTTTATTGTTATTAAACCATTTGTATCATATACTATTATTATTATTACTATCATCACACAGCTAACATATCTGGAGACGAATCACATCAAATATTTAGACAGAGAGTTATCACTCGATTCATATAATTATTATTATTATTAAATAATTTAATCATATCAATGTTGAGGCTCCGATTTTGCATGAGCAATGTTTGTTTATTCAAGGTTATATTATCATCAAATTGGTTATCAATTTCTATTCTTATCTTTGATCATTTTATTATTATTATTCTAATTTATTATCATTATCAATTATTATCATCCTTTAATTATTCATTATTTTCCTTAATACCAAGCATCATAATCATTATTATTCATTACCTTTTTTTTTGTTATCATGTTATTAATTAAATTTTTAATTATTATATATTATTAAATTATTATTATTAAATTTTGTTGTTGTTGTCTGTTGTTTGTTGGTTGTTGTTCGTTGTTTAATTTATAATTTTTATCCTTATTGTATTATTTACTATTCATTTTTTTCATGATTATCATTATATTATCAATTATTATTTGTTGTTATTTACTATTAATTACTATTGGCTATTATATCAATCGTCATTAATTATTATTGGCTTATTATCTTTTATTATTACTATTTTACATAAGTACTAATAAACATTACCATTTATGTATTATCCATAATTACATTGGTTGTATATCTAATACTTAATCTTTTTTGGCCAATTATTTTAATCATCAATTCATTATTATTATTATTATCATTATTATCATCATGGGGTCCCAATGTATTATTACTAATTTTAGTTAATTTTTTTATCATTTATTTACTCATTATTATTATTATCGTTTTATCATTATTATTAGTTGTTCGGTTTGTTGTTTGATGATTGTCCATTTATTATCAAATTAGGAAAATTAGCATTAATTTATCATTATCATTATCATATATTTAGCATGGGTTATTTGACAATTGTTATCATTTTTTTAGTCGTATTATTATAAATCAATTTAATGATAATTTAATGATTATCATTAATTTTAAATTATTACATTAATTTTTGTTGTTTATTTGTTATGAATGATTAATCATGTATGGTCAGAGATGTGAGCTAGGTTACTCTCACCATACCTTAATTACTCAGATTATTCACATGCTGGATATGTTAGTAAAATATTTCATTTAGTTGAAATATGAGTGATATTACCTGTGATTAAAGATTCATGTATCATTGCGACTGTAAAGAACTTCAATCATAGTGTAACTATATGACACTCTCATCTATTACCTAGTGCCGACTGTCAAATTTGAGGTTTATAAATTAATGGAAATATTTATTCGCATATTATATTAACATGACATGCATATTGTCACAATAGGATCATAAAAAGTTATTCACACATATCGTTCACTGCATCATATGTAATCATTCAATTACTATCTATTATATAGAGTCTTATTAATTATTCTACTAGGAGTCTTAATTATGATATATTCAAATCTGAAATCGTAATATAAGTTGTACTGAGTCTAAATCACATTATGTAATTCTATTATTATTAGCATTTCATACGTTATGTGATAGTTCACTCATTAGTTCACCTTATGTTATAAATTTATTAGTTAGTTTATCAATTTTCATTATTATTTGTTTTATCTGGTATCCTTCATTTATAACAGTCATATTGTTTTGTAACATAGAATCCGGGTTTGTCTCGACTTTTTATGGTATTATTACTATATTTAAGCATTATTCTAGTTATGTTTCCATAGTGGCATTTTATCATTTATTTATAGTTGCATTGTTGAAACTACATAGCATGGACTGTATTTAGTTGTAAGGTAACAGCAGTGTCAAATCCATTCCCTGCTATATATTCACTTAAAATAATATATTTATTTATCATACAATCAATTTTATCATATTAGTTTATCAAATTGTGTACATAGTGTTGATATCTGTTTGTAACTTAATTTGATTCTCTTACACATCCTACAGTGTATATTTTTGTTATCCAAGTTCAGGTATAACAGGAGTGCTTTAATCACTTTCACAAAATTTTGTGTTATATCAATCATGTATACCATTTATATTAATGGTGAGGTACATTTGGATTCATTTACTCTATTATTCTAAATGATTCATGTCGTATTGCACATTCGTTTGTTTAGTTTTAGAAATTGATACTGACTTATTTAAGAACATGCGATATCAATGTATCCTAGTTAATGCATTTGGATTTAGGCATTAAAAATTAGATATCATTATAAGGTTTAAGTATTTTATATTAGTATTACAGTTAATTTTTAATGTTCATTTACTCATACAGATTAGACTTTCATTATTATTTGAGATAAATTACAATTACAAACTTACTCGCGAATTAATCTTTACTTTACCATCATCTATTATGGGTAGTACAATCATCTCTGGCAGCGATCGCTTACTCTGGTATGAGAGCACACATATATTGTATCATGATTCTGGATCATCAAAAATCAAGTTGAGTCGAAATTTCCTTAAATTCGTAACTCATATAAAATATAATTAAGTGTTACTATGAGTATTAGGTTGAACTTTGAGAACAAGTATTGTGTCACAGTGATTCTCTCGCTGTATATGATTGATCACCAATTCTGACGCGTATTTTTGGTAATTATTATACATGATAACTCATCCTGCAGGTATACATTAAATAGATCCATTAAATAATTAACAAGATAAGCTGTAATGATATATTTCACATGGGTATAGTCATTATTTAACTACTATACAATAGATCTTGAATTGGTAATATATACTCAATAACTACAAAATAACAAAATCTCTATAATATCATAGAGGATTACAAAATTACCATATTCAAACATATTATATATATTCGTCATTAAGTAATGTCTTAAAGAAACAGCCACACTATTAATATCTTCTCAATGGATTTTGAAATAATTAGTCTTATAGAGTAGATTCACTAGTATTTCAAGGACTATTCATTCTGTCGAGTTTATCACAAATTGTTCCTATCATAATTCTATTGAGTATTATGCACTTATCTACCTTACCCTCAAAGATTTATCTATCTTTATATTCGAATACTCCAATCTCATTGTTATTTTCTCTCTATTTACCATGACTAGCCAAAGTTTTCATCCATCATGTGGATTATAATCTTTTACATATCATTCACATTCATACATTTGTTGACTGTTTCATTGTCTCTTATTTATCATTCACTCATTCATTATATTATTCATTATCCAATATTATTTATCAATTAGATTTATCCAAGATTTCCATTCTCTCCTAGTATCAATTATTGATCATTTATTGGTCAATCTACTTCACTTTCTCCTCACCCCACTAGTCGTATTCCCATTCTGCTTCGTGTCTTAATAACTTGGTTATCTCTTTAATTTCCTCTCTCTCATCTCTTTCATCCTCTCTCTCTCTCTCTCTCTCTCTCTCTCTGCTTCTTTCTCAAATTATCTCAATATACTGCGTATCATCAAAATTTTTGTTATATCACTTGAGTCGAATAATCTTTCTTCATCATTATCACATTTCGCCATGAGTATTTCCAAGTATTTTCACTGACTCATACCATTTCATTTCTTTATTAATTATCATCATCATCTACTATTTTTATCAATTTTGCTATCATTGTTGTTGTTTCTATTATTATCATTATTATTATTAAATTTTATTATTATTATATTATTATTATTACCTATTATCATTTCATTATTATCATCATTATTAAACTATTATTATTCCATTATTTATTATTATTATCATTATATTAATTTATTATTATTATTTATCTCACTTAATTAATTATCTCAATATATTTACTTATATTCTAATCATTATTGATTTATTTAATATTATCTATATTATTATTTTCAATATTAATATTATTCTCTCATCTCTCTCAACGTTGCTACAAAATTCTTCTTACTCATTCTTATCTATTTTATTACTAATCTTATATCCAATCTCATTCAATCTTTATCTTTCTTTCTTTCCTCATTCTAGGTCTAACAATTCATTATCTTATTTAATCACATTCAATTCTATTCACTCAAGTCACTTATCAATCCCAATCTCACTTTGAAGCGTTATCATCATTTCTTATCTGATCAATCGTCTATTATACTTATTGCGACTTATTCAATTCATTATTATATCAAAATTAATCATCTATTTTTATTCGCATCACTTTATTAGCATTCATTATTATTACTTTATTAAAAATCTTCACTTATATCAATATTTATTGTCCTCACTTTTTTTTATTACGGATTATTTTGTATTATTATTTTATTTTATTTTTCATCTTATTTGTTCATTTCTTCATATTTTATATTATCCATTTTATCATTCTTGCATTTTTGGTATTTTATCATTAATATTCATTTTCTCTTATTAGTGTTTATGCATCATCAGTATCCACCTTTCTTTTTATCACCCCATTAATATTTTCAATACTGTCCAATTGCTTATTATTTATCGTTACTATTAGTTCATATCTTTACCATGATGATCATTATTTACTATATTGAGTATGACTTTACCCATGTTATTACATTCATTACTATTAGTATATTTACCAATGAATTACCAATCTATTTACATAGTACTAGTTTACCCAATTGTCGATTATCATTCATTTCACTATTAGTATATACCGTTACCCTCTCCATGTACTTAATCATTTATTACTGCTTAGTATATCTTTACCATGATGATCATTATTACTATTAGTATATTTACCTCCTACTGATACCATTATTTCACTGTTATGCTTAATATTAACCATGATGATCCATTCTATTACTAAATCTTAGTATATTTACCCACTTGAATTACCTCTTTATTAACTGTTAGTGTATACTCCTACATGATGATCATTAATTACTATTAGTATATTTACCTAATTGATTAACCAATTATTCTAACTTCGAAGTATATCTTTACCAGAGTCTTACTCACATTATTACTGTTAGTATATTTACCATAGATACCTCATTATTACTATTAGTATAGTTACCAATGATTAATCATTATGTACAAATTAGTAATATTTACCACCATGTATTATATTACTAATTCAAGTACACTTACCATGATATCATTACTTACCGATTCAGTATATTTACCATGATTATCATTATTAACTATTAGTTATAATTTACCATGATTATCATTATTTACCTTCTACTATTATCATTTTCATCTAACCTCTTCCCTCGACGCGCCATCTTTTAAGTCTCAAATCCCTCTCCCTACGAACTTCTCCCCCTCTCCCTGCACCCCTACCCTCTCCCCTCACCCCTACCTCTAGCCTCACCCCTCTCTCCTCATCCCTCTCCCCTCACCCCTACCTCCTCCCTCACCCCTACCTCTAGCCTACCCCTCCCTCACTCACCCTACGACTACCCTCCCCCTCGCCCCTACGCTCTGCTAGCCTCACTCCCTCTTCTCCCATCCCTCCGCCTCCACCACCATCTCGCCGTCTCACTCACCCTATCCTCTTCCCCCTCACCCCTCTCTCCTCATCCTCTTCCCGGCCTCACTCCCCTACTCCTCTCTCCTCATAGACCCTCTCTCTCCTCATCCTCTCCCCTCAACCCCTAACCTTCTAGCCTCACCCCTCTCTCCTCTACTCCCTAACCTGTCTCCCTCACCCCTCTCTCCTCATCTCCCCTCTCCCCTCACCCTACCTCACCCTCACCCCTCTCTCCTCACCCTTAGCCTCTCCCTCACCCCTTCTCTCCTCACTTGCCCTCTCCCCTCACCCCCTACCTCTAGCCTTCACCCTCTCTCCTCACCTCTTCCTCTAGCCTCACCGTCCTCTCTCCTCAGCTCCTACCTCTTCTCCCCTCACGGCCTAGTCTCCTCTAGCCTCACCCTCCTCCTCATCCTCTCCGCCCTCACCCCTACCTCTCTCCTAACCAGCCGCTCTCCCCTCACACCCTCTCTCCTCATCCTCTCCTCTCTTCACCTACTCTCTCACCTCATCCCTCTCATCTCCTCATCCCTCTCGTCCCCTCAACCCCTACCTCTCCGACGCTCACCCTCTCGCCTCAACCAGGGTTCCTGAAGTCCTCGTAGTAGCAGCAGGTCCCTGAGCCCCCGTCGTCGTGGTAGGAGCCGTGAGAGTTCTTCCCAACGTAGACTATCGGGTGAGTGTTGTCGTACGAGGAATAGTGGCCGGGGGTGCGTGTGTAACGGCCGCTGTGCTGGAAGAACATGACCTCCGAGAGCGTTTCTTCGGATGTGTCGATGTTTCGGATCTAGAGAGATACGGGAAATAGAGAGAAGAGGGAGAGAGAGAGAGAAAATAAGAAGGAAAAGAAAAAATCATGATTGGCGGATCTAAGGGGGATAAGGTTAACAAGGAGCGCCGTCTCAAACGAGGTGGGGGTAGCTTGGCAACACTAAACGGGGGGTGGGGGTGGGTGGGGGGTTGGTTTTATAACAGGTGCGCGGTCTTTTGTTGATGTAAACACATCTCACGCACGTAGTTGGGGGTGGGGGGAGGCGTTGAGTTATTCATATTCACTGCATTTATTTGATCGCTGCCTCAACCTGCTCACTTCATACAAAGGAACCCGTGGATAGAGCCGTTCCTCTCCCTATATTCATACCGAAACAGAGACACGGAGAGACTGAACTTTCAATTTGATATTTATTTGTATGAATACGTATACGTAATATATATATATAATATATATATATATATATATATATATATATATGTGTGTCTGTGTCTGTGGTGTGTGTGTGTGTGTGTGGTGTGTGTGTGTGTGTGTGTTGTGTGTGTGTGTGTGTGTGTGTGTGAATATATAATATATGATAATATATATATATATAGTATATATTATATATATTACTATATCTTATATATCAATATATATATATACATATATATACATATACATGTATGTGTGTGCGTGTGTGTGTGTGTGTGTGTGTGTGTGGTGTGTGTGCGTGTGTGCGTGCGTGGCGTGTGTGTGTGTGTGTGTGTGTGTGTGTGTGTGTGTGTGTGTGTGTGTGTTGTGTGTGTGTGTGTGTGTGTGTGTTGTGTGTGTGCGTGCGTGCGTGCGGCGTGCGTGCGTGCGTGCGTGCGTGTGTGTGTGTTTGTGTGTATGTTTATACATGTACATTATAGTTTTATGTATATACATCATATGTGCGTTGTGTGTGTAAATAAATAAAATATATATATATTATATAATATGAATGTGTTTATATATACCATTTATTTTGTATGTATATATATATATATACTATATAATATATATATATATATATATATATAATTATATATATATGTGTGTGTGTGTGTGTTGTTGTGTGTGTGTGTGTGTGTGTGTGTGTGTGTGGTGTGTGTGTGATGTGTGTGTGTGTGTGTGTGTGTGTTGTGTCTGTGTGTACCTGAAATCTAGATTATTCAGTTGAATAACCCACGCTTGTTTTCATAAAGTAATCATGATTCTAGCCATGCAACCGCCAGTAGATCATATCAACCCCGTCTCTCGTTGAAATATGATACTTCATAATTTCAAAACTTGAAAATAATATCATCCCCGAGTAAATTCGTCTTACAATCCAACTATTGTTTATTTTATCATGACTTCGTATTAGCAAAGATGCAGCGAATGACAGGTCGGTTATCAATCTGTTAAGTAAACACAGCGCTCGAACGTTTGGGGAAACCGATTGCATTCGATCAGCTGATTGGCGGACATAAGTCAGCTGATGACTATTTCTGCCTTTATGTCATGATTAAATTTGCAGTCGATTCGGCAAATCATAGGGAGGGGATTCGGCCCCTCTACTTACCCAATCCCTGGCCAAACGTAAGAGGAATGGAGAGAACAAAAATAAAACCTCTAAGATTCCGTTGGTATGCAATGGCTTGTGAATCTTCCCAGCTGCCAAGATATGCCTCTTAAGCAACATCTTCAAGGATATTTGGGCAACATGTGTTCTGGCTGAAGTAATATGTTCAGCGGCAAAAGACTTTCCAATGTCACTCTCTCTCTCTCTCTCTCTCTCCTGTCTGCCTCTTCTCACTCTTCCAATCACTACTCTTCCTCTCTTTCTTTCTCTCATCTTCTCTTCTCTCT